AATGCCGTTTCCATCTCGTCTTCTTCTTCTATCTCGATGCTATAAATCCTTCTTTAAGATCAATAACCGAGAAATGCTTTGACCCTTGTGTATACCTAATTATGTCCCTAATATTCGCCAATTTATATTCATCTTTTTCTACCAAATCATTCAAAGACATTAAATTACTCACAAGTCTTATTGTACCATTTGGTTTTCTTAATTCTCTGGTCGGGTTTCGCCATTCGGATGTAGATCTACGTATGATACCTCGACTTTCTAATAATTTTATGTACATTTCGGTATCCGCAACTAGTGATTATAGTACTGTCTGCTTTCTTTTAAAAATCTTTTTCCCCAGTTCTGTTTTAATTCTACACTTTTTTACTCCGCAATAGTCTATTTTATTTTCTTCTACGTCAAAACGTTTTAAAAATTTTCTTTTCAGTTTCTCTAACATTAATCCTTTAATGTCTTCTGTTTTCGTTTGTTGCTTTAATACTCTAGATTTGAAAACTTTCTTATGTCTTTTATTTTTTTTCTTTTAAAACATAGTTTTTCTCTTCATCCGACGAGCCTTACCCGTTATTAAAACGCAAATAACTCAAATTTTCTTAATTTTTAAAATTTTTCTCAGTCACATTTCATCTTTCATATTGCTTTCTTGCAAAACAATTTCTACTGTAATGTCCCGTCTTCCCACAATTATAACATCTCGTTGGCACATACCTATTCGGTCGGCCCCGGGGCCTAAAACCGGGCAATTTTTGGTCACGAGAGGGGGCTATAAAATGTTCTGAAATTTTCAGACTACTAAAATGCTGATTATGTGTTGGGTGGTGGGTTTTTACATGCATAAAATACTTTTTTTAAACAATAATCTAAGCAATTTTAAAAAGGCTTTGGTTGTGTCATCTCTATCATAGCCATCAATGTTATTTCTTCTCCATTGGTATGCCTAAACGTAGCCAGTAATTTCAAATTTTGGAACTCCTTTTCTTGTTTTTAATCAGATTTGAATAAAAACCATTCTCCGCCTATCAAATTATGCTGGTGTCCTTCTTCATTTGTGAATCTCAATTCATGATTAACAACAATATGATTGCCTTTAATCTTTGCCATAGTGTATGGATAGGAAACGTGGCCATCTGTTTTTATAGTAGAACATGAATATATATATTTTTTGAAAAAATTCAAAAATGTTTCTTTTTTTCTATTTAGAACTATCTTTAAAGCAAGCCTTCGAAAAACTTCTTCAACAACCCCAACAAATCAAGCCCCTTCTTTTATTTTATCATACTTTTCAAAGGGAGAATTATGAAGCTTGTTTTTAACAATTATGCTTTCGGGGACCTATACAGGAGGATCGTCTCCCGGTTTTATCTTGTTCTTCTGATTATTCTCCACAACAACATTAATCATTATTTTTTTAATTCTCTTAATATAATTTAGAGATACATTAGAGTTTTTTGCCATACTGTATTCATTTTTTTTTCGAGCCAAGAATAGATAATAAACAAATATTCATAAAACTTATTTTTGGGCTGCTTATTTTTGTCCCTTTTAACAATAAATCTGGCTTTCTACAATTACAAATTATACATCTTAACTGATGAAAATTTACATAGGTTTCATCATACTCTATTCGCATTTCTGACTTACACTTATCACATATCTTGTTAATATCAAAAAAATTATAAAAATCACTCCATTCTGTTGCGTCTTTTAAGTTTATAAAAATCATAAATTTTATTCCTTTTGGTTCTTCTGAAAAAATCATAAATTTAAGGGTTAAAAAATTCCCAGATTAATAATGCCTATTCCTGGACAATGGGTTTAAAAAAAAAATATGATCCGGGAAAAGGCCCTGGCGCCGTTCCGTCTCCTTCCTTCTTAAAAAGTATTCTTAATAGTTTCTTGTATTTTTTCCGTAATGTTATGTTCAATTTGTATTGTTATGCTTCTAATTTCTTCTTCTTTCTGCATCACTTGCTCCTTTATATGAGTTTTCCTTTGGGGGGTTTCAACGATAGTTTTCCATCCCTCTTCCACTTTAACATTTTTCATAATAAAAACTTTTAACTCATAAGAACCCTTCTTAGACATAAAATGCTTCCATTTCTTTTCTGCTATCTTTTTTAAGCCAACTCATACTGTAGTAACCCAACTTCAACTGATATTTAGGCCTACAGACCCACGCAAACACTTGTTAACTCCTTGTTTATTGTGTTCGCCATATTATAGTTTATCATAATGGGTGTGAAAATTATACAAATATTTAAATTTTTTTATAACTAAATTTTACGGTGTCTATATTCTTAACAATTTAATTACAAATAGGACTTAAATGGATACAATTTTATGGCGCTACTTCATTTTTCACCCCTTCCGAACAACTATGTAAAATTTTTTTAAAGTGTGCGTAGTTATTCATAAAAGGGAGGAAAGATGAAGTAAAGGTAAAAAAAGAATTATTTTTAACCCCTATTATGAAAAATCTAAAAGAGAAAATTCTAAATTCAACGATGTTATATTATTTGAGAACTTTAAGACTTTAGAATTTTTTTTAAATACAATTTAATCAAAATAGAAACCCCTCGAGTTAAATGTGATGGAAGAATGAAGATTGTCGTGGCTGCTACGTATATAGACGGGCATGCATATCTAAGGCAAGCCCAAAGAAGGGGTCTAGAGTGGCCTCCCTGAATATAGAATTTGTAAAAATTCTTAGAGAAATGTATTGCTGGGTGTATGATTATACCCCAGTACAGGCCATTGATTTCTGCGATTGTTCGGAGAACACTTACATTAAAATCAAAGACCCGATTTTACAAGTAATATCCGAACAAGAGCCAGAAATAGCTAAAATAGGTGGAGAAGGTATTGGGGTGCAGTTTGACGAAACTGCTATCTGTAGTGGGGAGTTAGTATTTAACTCATCTAGTACCTCAAACAACAAACCCAACGTACAATGGTTAGTGGGAGACGTTGAAGAATAAAATTGTAGGAAGTTTGTTCTAAAGCTTGTTCCTAACAACAAATTTTGACTATACTAGACATGTTCGAAGAACATGTTGTACCCGGATCTATCATTGTTACTGGTGGTTATCCAATATATACCCCAGGGCTGTTACTGAATTAACACTTGCCATAAAGTGGTAAACCACTCGTTTGGGTTTGTTAATGCTCAAGGAGCGCATACGAAACAAATTGAAAACCCGGGGTCACATCTTAAGCATGCTGGAGTAACTGTCAGGAATGCGGCCAGTGGAGAGGAAGATCTCTATCGCACCAGGTATAACCGCGCCTGTTCCTGACGTTCCGTGAGATTTAAAGTGAGAAATGGTGTTACTAGAGTAATGTTTATTTACATCTTCTTGGGATGGTCTTAGGGTTCTATCTTCTCTCGATCTTTTTGCTTGATTGACTCGTTGGTTATTTCTTGATGTATACATTGGGTTCGGGGTAAATTTCTTTTTATAGGTTTATTTATTTACATAACAAAATTTATAAACAAACAAACAAAGATTAAAGAAGAAACATGTGGTAATAAAGTATTACCACAAGAAGTTAAAATTTTTTTGCCACTACCACTTTTGAACACCACAAAGCAAAAAAAAATCCATTTTTTTATTTGCAAAATTAAATATGCCTTTTATGCCACTACTGTACAACTAGGATATGGTTTAAAAATAACAACATTGATTTCATAGACTGGCCATGGTTAAGTACAGATCTTAATTCTATTGAAAATATAGGTCACAGGCCATAGCGGCAGTGAATCTTTTTGGTAAGAATCTTATAACGTATCCATGTCAGGTTTAGGTACTCCTATAATTTAAAGTTTTATAGCGGCATCAGGCGTCGAGGAAGCTTTTTTTACTAAGCAAAACTGATACCTTTGGGATTCGTACCGTAAACAAGAAGAAAACGCTCAGTAGTTTAAGGGAGATAACCAACTGTACCGACGTCCTCGGTTTCATATCAACGCTTAGATTAACAATTAAATATTAAGCTTGTTGTACTTAATATCTTTAATGAAACAACTTTATTGATTTGTTTCAATTTATAATTTTGTAACTTTTTAAACATTGCTTAGGCTTGGGTTCTTAGGTGAAACGTAGTGTTTAATCTCAAATATAACTACATAATTTTTTGAAAAATGAATTTTGAGACAAAAGAATTAAACAAACCAATTAAACTAAGAAGAATTATATTATTTTATTTAAAGGTTAAATTTGTTATGAGTTTTTATGTTATCAAAATATGATTTCAACGTGGGTAAATTTCTGCCTAAGATTCTCTTCCCTTCTAGTTTCCTCAATTGTCAGATCTGTACCTCGTCTGAACTCCATCGAGACACTTTCAAGAGTTTTCTTTAGAGTGATCGATTGAATATAAGCTTCAATTTGATCAGAAATTGCAAGCTTCTTCCTGTATTTTGCATGGTATTTTATAACGATACAATTCCATGTCAATACATATGGAATTATTCTTGTTTTGCATTTATGAATCAGACCAAGTTCATTAGCCAATACTTCGTAATTTCTTAACTTCTCGGATTCTACTTGTTGTAGATTGTTGATCAAAGTAACATCAATTTCAACAATTAATATTTCTTTACTCTTTTTATCAATAACAACAATGTCTGGCTTATTGTATTTTATCTTCACGTCTGTCTTTATGGTGGTATCTACTCTTATTTATACATATTTGTTGGCCACTATTTGTTGGACTGAATGACTTCTTAGTTTCTTTCCTGAATCTTCTATCTTATATTTCTTATACAGCAGCATGTATATACACTTGACTATCTCATTATGCCTTCTCATATAGTCGTGTCCTAGCGTCTTTTCGCATTTTGTAGCCATATGGTCTACTGTTTTTCTGCTTGAATTGCAGTGTGGGCACATAACGCTTTCAGTAAAGAAGACATTTCTATCTTGTAAGAAGCATAATTTTCCTTCATGTTTGACTAAATTATTTCCTTTATGAAGCCAAATTGACGAGTCTTTAGTGGATACTAATTCATGAGAGATCTTCAATCAACCTTTTATGTAAGAATCTGGTTTTTGTTTCGTTGATTAGTTTAGAGTGTTGGGCTTCCATTACTTCTTCTATATTAGTGTTTTCAAG